GTAGGATTACACAATACTACTGTTGTCCTTATTCTGAATGGATTAGCTATGTGAGCGTGGTTGAATTGAAGTTAAAGTAGAAAACATGTTATTCTTATTTACATCAAATTGAATATACTGCCTCCGTTATGCATTAAGTTTTATATTACAACTAAATAACTAATTGGGATATTAAAAAAAAAAGTTAATTTGGTTATTTGTTACAAATATGTGTTAGTCTCCTTAAAATATCCTCTTTAATCATGGGTACTAAATTATTAAAATTATCCCTTCTAGAAAATCTTTACAGTCAATAAAGATATTTTGAAAAAAAGTGAAAGACAAAGTGAACAAAAGTCTTATATTTATAACCAGATCTACTTCCATCTAGTTTTTATATTAAAGATCGGAGGTAGTATATAGAAAATTATTTAGGTTAAGATACATCCAGTACCTCAGGATATTTTCTCATGTACATTCAGCACTTCGAAGTATTTTGTGATACATTTAAAATTCTAAAATATTTTTCAGGTGCATCCAATACCTTAATATATATATTTTTACCTTGGTACTGGATGCATAGAAAATATTTTTTGATGTTAGACATACCTAAAAAAAATATTTTAAGATATTGGACATACCAACAAACACTTCAAAGTGCTATGTGCACTTAAACAATTACTTCACTGTGCTGGAATATTTTGAGGTATTAAATGCATTTAGAAAAATATTTCAAAGTGTTTAATACGCCTTAACCCAAATTATTTTGACAGATAAAAAAAAGTGATTAATAAATATCGAAGAAGCTAGTGACTGTTATGCTATTAATGATGGTCAATTAACAATGCAATCCCCCTCCCTTCTCTCTAACGTCCAAAATTATGGCTTACTAGCCCAAACAAAATAAAAACAAAGAGAATAATAAAATACGCGTACCAGTAGCAGGAAAACCTACGCATGAAGACGCTCGGCAGAGCATTATTTAGAAGTTTGTAGGTAATTAGGAAGATATTGGCACTAGAATATTTCCAAGTTGATTCTAAAAGTTAAGATCCTGTGGCGAGAATATTTCAAGATTAAGAGCTAATCGAATTAATTTTCTTGGTTTAACATGTGCAGACGGTAATGGCGTGCTCAAAAGTCAAATAATAACCTGCATCAGTGCATGAATAAAATAATAGAAGTCTGTCTCGCCCAAAAAAAAAAAAGGAAGTGTGAAATCATTGGAATACAATGAAGAAAGACGAGGAAAAATGGCTGGGGAGCCTGGGGAGGTCAAACTACGACCCCAAATATTCTGCATCCTATACCAAAACTGTAATGATTACGAGTTGCCAAATTACCAAATAGATTGACTAATTCACATGAACTCTATATGGGAATATGGCCTAATGTGAAGTGGGGACTTTTAACTTTTGACCCTTTTTTGTTGTTGCAATTTTAACACTTTATCTTGGCCCAACTCACCTGAAATATTGGGCCAACCAGATTATTAACCCACCTGAATCCCTGTAGTATGTAACTTTAGCATGCAAAAAAATATGGCCTTTCGTGTACCCAAAAAAAAACAAAGAAACAGCTTTTCTGCTTGTTTTCTTACGCCAATGCCCGGTGATACTTTGATTTTGTCAAGCTAGCCTCATGTGTCTTGATTACTTTCTATTTTTATACCAACAAAGAATATTGAACGTTGTACCAACAAAACAAAAAAAACTGAACCTTCCTGTCTCTGCCGAGGAGATGCCAACCATCCATATCCATAATATATATATATATATATATATATACACTCGTATATGTCACTCACATATCATGGAACACGGGAATCTAGCAATATAAAAAGGCCAATATTTTTTTTAATAAAGAGGGCGAATAATGGGGAGGAATCGAATTTCGTGCATTCTGCTACGTAAAATTATAAAATTTCTTCTGTTATAAATTTCAAAACGTCGACCTGTGCAAATGAACTTTAAAGTTTTAATCTGAACCCAAATAAAAGTTCTCAGAGCCATCTAATTCATCTCTTTCGTGAACAGCATAAACCTTTAATTAAAGGTATTAGAAAAAATCAAAGCGATGAGAAACAGATGAACTAAGCAGAATAGGCAAGATCATGGGGCTTTAAATATGTCGGGATTTTGATCATTGTCACTTTCCTTAAAAACATACCATATCTATTGAGAATGAGAATCGGCCCTTGATCATTTTGTTTCATAATCCCAGTGTGTGTTTAGGAGCGGGGGATATTACAAGAATGAAGTCAAAACATTGCACTGTCACCCTTCATTTTGCGTCCAAAGAAAAGACGGAATAACTGTTCATGAATCATGAACAGCAATGCTAATTTCTCAAATCTCGTTACCATGGGACACTAGTACTGCCTCCCATTTTTAATACAAATATAAAAGTTACTTGATTAATTTGAATTAAATTAAAAAAAATTGTTACGTTATTTATTTGTAATAAATAGATATTGTCTTTATTAAAATATTCTTGCTAATTATGTGTATCAGCTAACACTACCATTTAATGAAATATTTAACATGTACAACTATTACAAGAATTACTTTTAAAAAAAAAGAGATAAATATGAGGGACAAAGTGAATTAAAATATTATATTTAAAGTCAAATTGAAGGTCAAACCATCTCTTATACTCCTCCGGTCCTTATTATAAGACCCCATTTGACTTTTTATTTGGTCCTAATTATAAGACCCCAATCCATTTTGTCTCTTATATTTATGCATTTTTTCCAAGATAATCCTTCTAATAATGATAGTTTTAGCCAATATACTTAATTAGCAAAGATATTTTAGGAATGACAACACTTAGTTATTATAAATAACCAACTTAACTTACTTCCTTAATCTCCTCAAATAAGTTAATTGGGTCTTATAATTAGGATCGGAGGAGTATTAAAGATTGAAAGTAGTATATAAGATCTAAAATATCTATTTTCCATATATAATTAAATAATTAAATAAATTTTTTATATCGGAAGCTCAATTGCAAATGTTGGAAATTTAGTCGTAAATAATGAAAGATTACTCACTAATAAACTAGAAAAGAAAATTTTAGGGCCCCAGGATTTCGAAAGTTTTCATCAATTACAAGTGATTTCCAGTTATTTTTTTTATTTGGAGTTGAGCCTTCAGTTTTTGTAACTGAGCTTTTGTAATTTATAATTTCTTTACTCGCGATCTTTTAGATTTGTCGCCCACGATCAAAACTTTAGTTTTTTTTTAATAAAAAAATCATGAAAATTAAAAAATTTTAAATTGAAGATTAATTAATTAATATATTTTTGTGAAATGGCCTGATTTGAGATTATTCCACAGGCTTTTTTTTTTTGGTCATCTTACTAATTTACTTTAATCCTTAAAAGGCAAGGTATTTTTTTTTGGGGATAAATAGAGGGCAAGGTATTGGAAAGAGGCGACTTCCGAACCTACGTGGCCCTTTATAACTGGTTAAACTCAAAAAGGCAGCGCGAGATATCGCCAAAGGTAACCCCAGAGCGGCGCATCCGGTGATACGAACCAAAATGGAAAATCTAAAAGACGAGAATATAAAAGAGAAGCAGAGATAAGATAACACTGGAAGATCAAAGCGCATAAACCCTAGCTCGAAAATCTCGCGATAAATAAAAAAAATTGCCTCGTCTGCAATCTCCGCTTATCTCTCCGTCGAGAAGACCAATCTCTCTCCTGTAAGCTCCAAATTTATCGCGATCCCCTTCTTTCCTCAATCATCGCTCGTCGTATTTTCTACTGCCATATATATGTGTGTATTTTGTGCACGCTGAAGCATTCCAATTGTGTTTATTTAGGATGGTTTCCTCTGTTCGCTTCAGGGAAATTGTTTGACGCTAATTCTTCTATGCCAATAAAATGTACTCGAATTTTAGTGTTGATTGGGAGTTTGGAGAGACTGCGTGTGAAAAATGTGGGAGGGGGAGGGGAAGACTTTGCTGTGAGATGGAGAGAAGGGTATGGTCTATTTAAAACGACGACAAGGCATTTAATCTCGAAGTTATTCAGATCGTTAAATTCTCAGACCTTCTTGTAAACAATCTAACAAAAACAGAGATGACTTAATCCTTTCAAATCGTATATTGGACTGACGAGTCTTATCCTTAACCTGCCAGGGACTGTCACACTGTTTTATCTTTCGCCGTAAAAATGGTTTTCATCTTCAACTATCGCAGTACTGTGAATGGGCTGGAGAAGTTCTTAAAAACAATTTTTCCTTGTTTTGTGTGTCTGATTTCATCTCTTAAACTTACACCTAGACTGGTTTGCTAGTCTGCCCAAACTCATGCTGCCTATGCCATGTCTACCAAGTCACTCATTAGATCAGATAAAAATATATACTTGAATTTATAATGTTGGTTTAATTTTTTTTTTTTTTCCCCTACGGCACCTGAATGGCTACCAAATGCTTGGATGACTTTTTTCCCTCTCTTTTGTGTTTTCTGCTCTCTCTGCTTATCGTGATTCATGTTGTACGCGTAATTAGAAAGAAAAATGTTTCTCATTCCATAACTCGTTTGCTCCTTTTGTTTAGGCTGTCATTACTACCCTGAAAGAGCTGCTGCATGCCAAGTGAGTTAAAGCTTATTTTCCTATATATATCCTGAGCAGTGTCCCAGTGACTGCATCAACTTTTGGATTATTTTCTCTTATTCTCTTCCTATAACTTATAATTAATTATGATTAATGATTTTTTTGGATTAACACCATTTGGGAAAACCACTTGAGAGTGCCCAAGAGTCAATCATTAACTTATATTTAATTTAGTGATTTGGAAATCCCCCCCCCCCCAAATTTATTGTTTTGGTAGCGACTTAACATGTGGATTCCTATATTTATGTGTAGCCTTCTCCGAAATGTATATATATTTAGGTTGATTTTTTGGTCACCTCCATATAACAAAAGAAAACTGAACATATAACGTATTGATAATATTTTGTTAATTGTTAGTGGTTCGAGAAAAAGACGTCTGTTGGGAATATGCAGATAAATTAGAAGGAAACAAGGTAAGATGCAAATTTTGCCAAAGGGTTTTAAATGGAGGCATCAGTAGATTGAAGCACCATCTATCTCGGCTTCCAAGTAAAGGAGTAAATCCTTGTAGCAAGGTCAGAGACGATGTTACTGATAGGGTGAGGGCAATTATTGCATCAAAGGAAGATGTCAAAGAAAACTCTAGCGCGAAAAAGCAGAAGCTACCAGAAGTCAAGTCTCCAAGTCCTGTTTCTGGAACTAAAACTCTTTTGTCTATAGATGCAGCGTCTCCTGTTATGAAGGGCTTCCTTACAGTCAGTCCTGTGACTCCTCCCTCTGTGAACCACCAAGAGAATGCAGAGAAAAGTATTGCTCTCTTCTTTTTTGAGAATAAGCTTGACTTCAGTGTTGCACGGTCGTCATCCTATCAACTAATGATTGACGCCATAGGGAAGTGTGGCCCTGGATTTACTGGTCCATCAGCAGAGATGTTGAAGACAACATGGTTGGAAAGGATAAAGTCAGAAGTTGGCTTACAGTCCAAAGACGTTGAGAAAGAGTGGGCTACCACAGGTTGTACAATTATCGCAGACACATGGACTGACAATAAATCAAGAGCCTTAATTAATTTCTTAGTCTCATCACCATCCAGGACATTTTTCCACAGATCTGTGGATGCATCTGCATATTTCAAGAGCACAAAAGGCCTTGCTGAACTTTTTGACTCTGTTATTCAAGAGTTCAGCCCCGAAAATGTTGTGCAAATTATCATGGATAGCAGTTTTAACTACATTGGCATTGCCAATCATATTGTTCAGAACTATGGAACTATATTTGTCTCTCCTTGTGCTTCCCAATGTTTAAACCTAATTTTGGAGGAATTCTCAAAGGTAGATTGGGTAAGCAGATGTGTTTTACAAGCACAGACCATATCAAAGTTTATATACAATAATGCATTGTTGCTTGATCTTATGAAGAAGTTCACTGGGGGCCAGGAACTGATCAGGACCGGTATCACAAAATCAGTATCCACCTTCCTGTCATTACACTCCATGCTGAAGCAAAAATCAAGATTGAAGCATATGTTCCACAGCCCTGAATATGCTTCAAACTCCTCATATGCAAGTAAACCGCAAAGTCTATCTTGTATTGCAATTGCTGAAGATCTTGATTTCTGGAGGACAGTGGAAGAGTGTGTGGCTATCTCCGAGCCTTTTCTGAAAGTCTTGAGAGAAGTTTCTGAAGGAAAACCAACTGTAGGTTCCATATACGAACTAATGACGAGGGCAAAGGAGTCGATTAGGACATACTACATAATGGATGAGAACAAGTGCAAGACATTCTTAGATATCGTGGATGAAAAGTGGCGGGACCAACTCCATTCTCCTTTACACGCCGCTGCCGCCTTCTTGAACCCTAGTATTCAATATAATCCTGAAATAAAATTTCTTTCCTCTATAAAAGAAGATTTCTACAAGGTTTTGGAGAAACTACTTCCTGTACCTGACATGAGGCGTGATATCACTAATCAAATATATACATTTACAAAGGCTCATGGGATGTTTGGTTGTAGCCTAGCAAAGGAGGCAAGAACTACAGTCTCGCCGTGTAAGTATGAAATTGCGCCCTTGTTCTCTGTGTCTCAAAGGCCTTATTTTGTCAGCTGATTGTTTCAACGAGTAAATTTCATGAAATCTCCTTTGGCCAAAAAAAAAGAAAAAAATCACAAAATCTTGGGGACGGACTTCATTTTATCATTTATAGCCATAAGATGCAGAAAACAGACCATGTATTTTGGAGCGTAGCTCACGCCAAGTTTCCTCTAGTTGTTACAAAAAACTTTGTTTGAGGTGTTATTTTATGTAGAATTTAATCCATTATTTCCCAGGATCATGCTAACCACGAGTAGCTGTTCATAGGTTTCAAAACTTCGAAGTGGTCCCTGTTATTTTTTCCTATGGGCTATTGATTATTCATTATGAATTTTTTTCTGAGCATTGTGGGCTTTATCTTGCCCATAGGAAATGAAAATTTCTGAAACTTGGTTTTGCTTGGTTTTTGATCTGGGAAGCCACTAATCTAATTTCAACACGAACTATATATTCCGGTCTGGAGGAGGGCAGAAGGTTCGATTCGTGAAATCGTAAGGGGACGCATTTAAAAGAAATGGTTCACAACTAAATTAGCCGTGGCTATATTTTCAAGTGATGGCAGGCTGGCAGCTTCCCCTTCCACAACATGTGCTTATTGCTTTGGGTCTTTGTCATTATTTCTTAGAGTAAGAATAACATGCAAATTGCTTATTGCATTCTAAGTCTCTTGTTCACATTGTGTTATAGATACAATATGATTTTCTGTTTTCTTTCATGCAATTGCTATAGCTGCAAATCTGCCAATGTTACTACCATATTGAGGGAGAGATAATCAACATGGTCATGTATTTACTGCAGGGCTTTGGTGGGAACAATATGGTGACTCTGCCCCTGGGTTGCAACGAGTGGCCATTAGAATATTAAGTCAAGTCTGTAGCACATTCTCTTTTCAGCGGCACTGGAGTACATTCCAGCATATTCACTCTGAGAAACGAAATAAGATTGATAGAGAAACGTTGAATGACCTTGTCTATATAAACTACAATCTCAAGTTGGCCAGGCAAATGAAAGCCAAGTCTTCGGAAGCTGATCCGCTGCAATTTGATGATATTGACATGACTTCGGAGTGGGTAGAGGAGAGTGAAAATACAAGTCCAACTCAGTGGCTTGATCGTTTCGGCCCTGCCTTGGATGCGAGTGATCTGAATACCAGACAGTTTAGTTCCGCTATTTTTGGCGCAAATGATCCCATATTTGGGTTGTAATTGTGGGGCTTCTTAATTACTTATTCCGATTGTGCGTTCTTTTACTCGCTTGTAAAGATTTGTCATCCTCAGATCAAGCTGAGGAACGTATTCTTTCTTGACAGTTGTAGATCTTGATGTATATTAACATGTTAATGATGTAAATTGCATTAACTGCTGATTAGGGCCAACAAGAACGACAGCGGCCGGCTGCCTGATGTAGTGGTATCCAAGTTCGACTCTCTGAACTGTACTAAGAGAACAATTACTGTCACATTATAGAAGGCAAATTTTAATATATCATCAAATCATCATGTGTGTTTTTTAAGCCGAATTCATAATTCTACTGTATTAGAAGTCAAATTCAGCTGAAGTTGCAATATTTCGTTGAACAAAAAATCTATCACATATATTTTTGTATTTAATTTCCTATACTATTTTTAGTTTCTTATCACAAAATTTGAAAACTATGTTTGGGCTTGGAACCAACCAAGAGCATCCTCTACTGAGTATGAAGGATAAAGATAAATTCCTTTTATCTAAATTTTTTCTACATATTTTCACCAAAAAAATTGTTCTACATATAAAGTCTGGTCACTTAAATTAAGGGATGGTATTTCTTATTCACTGTGACTTAATGAAAAGTGAATATTTAATTTCTGAAGCTGAGAAGTTTACGTGATTTCTCTTTGTAAATAAAAAGGGATTATTAAAGAACTTGCAAGTGTGAAAAGAAAATTATTGGGATTTAGGTAACTCTTTGACACTGACATCCTTAAAGATAGTCGTAGTTCTCCTTCGAAAAATAATAATCCAAGGTATCATTTGGTACGAAATATTAAAAATGAGGAATAAGGACTAAAATTGCAATTGAAAAAAATTATTAAAAAAATATTTAGTATAAGTAATTACGTAATACATAGGATTAGACAAATCCATAAAGGTGGGATTAGGGAATATCATCTCCCATAGTATTTATCAATTTCACATACATAGGTTTTATCTAATTTTATGTAACAAGCAGTTTTTCATATTAAATATTCTTTTAATAAATTTTCTCTATTATAATTTCAACGCATGCCTCTCATTTCAGTGCCTTATAACCAAACAGTATCTAAGAGTTTAAGAAGAGAGAGAGTTTAAACTTTAATTTAAATTCGATGAATAAGATTGGCCAAAGAGAGAGAAATTTGCGAGAAAAGAAATTCTTGCATAAGCTAGAGCATGGCATGTAGCCGCGGAATTCTTACGTATTCGGTTACTCTTGCGAATAACTGAATGTGTTGCCGACGTGGCATCCTTGGTCACCCGCCTCCACTTTCAAAGCGGGGGCAGGCTCCTCCTCAACCGGAGGTTTTGGCGTTTTTACGTAGTTAGGAATTTCGACTTCCTCACCGGCCTCAGTCCACCGCCTTCTATCTAATCTTTTAAAATTCTACAATGACCAAAAGAAAATTGTGTGATCAAGAAATCGGTAGTTCGGAATATCATGTAAAACGAGATTGTTGATTTTTTTTTCATGAAAAAACTTCAACTCCTCTTCCACTGAAATTGATTTATTCAATGCGTTTTTCTCATTGATTTGCAGCAGGATTGGGCATTAAGGTTGCTGTCAAGCCAGAATATAAGATCACTTCTCCGGTAAATTTTGCTCTGCTTATCTCCCTTATTCATTTATTCCAAGATATATGACCTTCATAATATTATTAATTTTATCGCAATCTTGACTTGTCTCTATGCTTTGATCTCGATAACTTGTGCGTGAATGCTTTTTAATCCCCATTTATGCTAGTTTAGGGGTCATACTTTCTTCCTTGTGTTCATCAGGATCTTTTATTCGCTACGATCAATTTGATGATTTCTTATTCTCTTTTCTATGTATTGGATAATTTTCTTGAATTTCACTCGTTTTAATGTTGCAAAAGCTGACGAAAATGATAGTCCTTTTTTTCCCTGGACGTTACACTAGCTTTGTATTTCTATCAAGGCAGCCGCAATCTTGCAGGTCTGGGTTGGGTGAGCCTTTTTGATGATGCTTTGTTTTTCTTGTTTAATCTTTGCTTTGCATAATGAATTTATTTTATCTTAAATCTCATCGACAATACTTGGCTCCTTCAATTGCTTTGACAGGATCTTCTAAGGCCAATGAATAGCTTGTTTTTATATCCTTTTGCACCTCTTCTTACGTGGGCGCAAGGTTGCATATTCACTCCTTTTTCTGCATACGTTAATTAAAATTGAAAAATCCTCGTTTTCTGGTATTTCATAAATCTGGGAAGGATAGCCCTACTTATTAAATATTCGACCCAATGCAGCTAGTTGGTATTTTGCCTTTATCATTTAGATGTTGCTTAAATTTCTTATTCAGCTTGCCCCCTACCTTGCATGGGAAAATGCTCAAGCTATGCGCAATTTACTTGAGGATATTTTGATCTCTTAGCGTGACTTTTCAGTGCTTTTCTGAATTTTGTAGCCTCATTTATCACTGTATGCTGGAGATCTTGCATCGAGTAACTTCCAATTTGATTTTGTCTTGTAAAGAAAAATTTGACTGAAGCCGAGAAGGAAAGCCCAAAATGGAGCAGTTTTGGTGTTGAAAATCTTCCAACTAAAGGTGTTGAAGCAGCATCACCAGTGGTATGTTATAACATTTACTATTGTTTTCTCTGATTATAATGGTTTTTTATTTCAATTTTTTCTGGGACACGTGTAACGGCTACAAGTTTATAAGACTATTTAAATTTTGTTATTTTATGATAAACTCAATTTTTTTCTGTATATTGATAAATAGTGACTGGTTTATCTTTAAAAATTCTTTGGCAATGATGATCTACGAATATAGCTTCCAAAGTTCCAATGCTGTGAAATGAACAGTATTTTCTTGCAGATTCCTGGTCCAAATCCCATTGTGAGCAAGTATATTGCCTTGGGGCTTAGCCGAGAAGCTGTCCCCATTGCTGTTTCAAATTATGGTGATAATCCAACCAAGGTATGTGCTTGACCCAAACAGCAGCATAACTGAAATGTATGACTGAGTGTTTCTGAAGAACGGTATGCAACAAAAGTCTTGCTCTCTGCATCAACTTTACTGATCAAATAATGAATCGTTTTGTGTGCACAAGATTCACATGGTTCTTCCTTCAGTGCTAAAGTTCTTCCTGCAAAACACTACACTGAAATAACTGTCGTGGAGTCCTGGAAACAAGGTGATTAAAAAGTTGTCAGTTCAGTACTGACCTGAAAATTTTATATCCTGTTTGATCAGATTATCTTCTTCATCTGGCCCATATAATCTACCCCATATTACTTCCCTATTGACCAATTTCTTGCAAACCTGATCCCCAGCCACTAGCACTCTGCCACATTTTCTTCTGCTATAAGTCAGAGGAGGGCGTCATGGATTGCTATCACCCCATCAAGTCTAATGGTTATCTTAAAAAGATAATTGTTAAACATCAATATTTTCTTCCCTTGATTAATATTCTTGAATTCCTAATTTTAGACATAGCATGACTCTGATGGTAGTTCCTGACTAGAGCTTCTCCTTCTTCACATGTTTCAGCATCAAGTATGTAGTTTTGGCATCAAGTTTTTTTTTCCCCTTTCGGTAATCGTCTAAAAATTCTATACATTACAACCTCAACTTTGTATATGTCCTGTTTGGTCTGATTATCTTCTGACCTTACCTCCCTCTACGTGCTGAGGGGGAGGGGATTATCTATGGTTAGCATGGAAACTAATAGCCAGTTTTGATGAAAGCTACATGTGCCCATGTTCCAAGGAAGCCCTTGTAATATTTTGGACAGTTCCTTTTTTGGGCATTTTTTGGATCTATTTCTAGCCGGAGTATGGGAATAATCACTGGCACTACAAGCCTTTCTAGGTAACAAGATTTTAGGAGTCCTACTAGATGAAATCCTTTACCCTGGATATTAGTTTCGCTTTCAGCTTCATCATTCTTAGACTTGAGATGAAATTTCTATATCTTGCATTTCTACATTAGCTGGTAGAAGATGTCTGGCAACCTTTGCTGTTTAATTTGCCTTGCTAACCTAATGAATGCGTTGTTCATTTGAAGGTTCGGGAATTTGTGAAGGGCTACACCATTCGGCGCGAAATGGGGTTTTCATCTAGTGCGGTTGCTGATGCCTTGGTCATGCATGAAAATAATACGGACAAGGCCCTGGCACACGTTTCGTTGGTGGTTCATCGTGATATTCCTGAACGATGTTTGTTGCAAGTGTTGTTTAGTAGATAAATTGATTTTCGAAAGATAACATTCAAATATAGAAACACAAGCACAATCCGCTACTGTCTGTTTTTCTAGAACAAATAGACCATTGTCCTCTCAACTAGACATGCAGGCGGTGCACGAGAACATTAACCCTGTTTCTGCCCGAGGGAAAAAGATGAAGAATTTTAATGAGTGGAATAAAATTTTAAAGTTGAACTTATTAGAATCTCCCAATTTTTTTCTTTCCTCAAACCTACCAGACCATAAAATTCTAAGGTGGAACTCATTAAAATTAAACGTATGATTTTTCATTATGGTGCAAATTCAAAATATAAATAACACCTTATTTTGTCTCAGAATATTTCACCTATGCAAACTAAAATTTAGATAATAACTAGTTTTATTTTATAATTTGTTATCGTGATATCAAAAACTTAAAAACACATTTTACATCAAATTGTATCATGGAAATTACAAGAGGAGGAGAGTTACGTAATCAACTGTGTGCTTACTCCCAATTAAATCAATACACATGAATTTTTTATTTACTACTCCTCCAGTCCTAAATATAATGCTTTTATACTAATGTGTATAAATATTTTATATTTAGGACAGGAGGAGTATTTATTTTACAATAAACCATTTTTATTAATATTATTAACACTTTACATTAGAATCCACTGGTTTTCATTTATCACAATATTTTCTAGATTTCATTTATCGCCCCATGGATGTTAAAAACATAAAAACATTTTCCTGTTAATTTTAAAATTTTTATCCATGTAGACTATTACTTGTTATCCGTACATAACAAAAATGAGTTTACTTTAAAAAATAAAATTTTATATTTTAAAAAAGTTCTTTGAAAAAAATAAACGCTTCTTTACGTAGATTTGTGAGCATTTACAATTGCATTTTTACTTTTTACACTACAGAGCATATTTACGAAACTCATTGGATGTAAAAATGTCTAGTACAAGAAAAACGCTTAAAAACCAAAAGATGACCCGCCAAAACAGCACTCTATTTGATAGTTTTGTTGATGAAAATTGGGAACTTCTTTGACCGTCAACGAATGAAAGAACAACAGAAACCAACTCACTGGAGGAAAGCTGAACTTCTATAAATGCACCGTACTGTTTGGCCAAAAAATAAAATATAAATGCACTGTACTGCATACCTTCAGTAATCAATGCCTGCTGCACTACTAACTCAACAACCCGCTAACTACCCTAGTTTGCAACTGAGACTGTTTTACAGATGGACTTGAAATCTGAGGAATAACAAAATTCCTAATAATGTGCGAGTATATATGTCCAATCTGTATAACTCCAAGGGGATAACCAATCAATTCAGACACCCGCACAAATCGCTCCTGAAAGACGAATATGTTGCAAGGAGAGAATTCAACACGTGATTCTTAAATAATCACTTCCGCTATCAATTTCATGAGCTCAAATTCAGAAAGAGACTAAGAGAGAACCTGATGACCAAGATGAGCAACAAAACTTCCCCTCATCAACATGCTTCACATCAAGCCCAATAAACCAGGATCCAGCACTAACATCATCATGGGCGTAGGTACGGAGAATTGATCTGCCAATTCAAGAAAAAAGATTCAAGCTTGTGCTGTAAAAGCAGTTACTGATACAACTGATGCAGCAAAGAAGAATGAATCAGACCTGTTAATCGATATGAATTTAGCCAAAGCACGAGATATGACATACATCTCTCCTGATGCATGACGAAAATATCTGTTGGCCAGAAATTTATGGATCACTTTGAGTTGGTAAATGGATGGAATTAACTTGCTTGTACAACTTGGGAGTCCATCAATGAATTCATGGCAGTAAAGCAGATTAATACGAAATTACTCGCGATTCAACTTACGATTTTTTATCCCCAAATTTCCACCATTCTGGTTCATACCATTTATGGTTCCTGCATGATTCACGTGTAGTGATAAGAAAACCATAGAAAATCTCATTCATAAATGCGCACCATTTTAAACAGCAAGGTTCATAAGGGCCTCACGGTTCAGAGAATACTTCGCCTGACTTCATGCACCCTATGTAAATACGAGGTTTATCTAAATGAGCTGCAAGTGTAGCTCCCAATGCATCTGTTGGGGGAAGAAACAAGTAAGCTACGTGAAATATAGACATCCATAAGGGGTTAAGTCAATAGCGGCGAGACAACCCGGGAATTTGCCTAAATAATGCAAAGAAGCAGACAAGAAATATTTTCACGTAGCCAATAGGAAAAAAAATTAAGCATATAACTGACTGTTCCTTCTGGAAATATCAAAATGAAGGAGCAGCAGCACAGGGATCATGAGGCAGTTTAGTCATTTTTTGTCTATTATTTTTTTGTTTCGGGTCGTCTCCCTCTTCATCCCTTCGTTAGAGGCGTACCTAAGACACTTCATTAATATGCATTTTTTGAGCCTGAGGTTCCTTCAGTGATAAATCATGTAAGTTCAGGTTAATAGAAACATGATAAAATAAGCCACAAAAGGCATTTGATGCATGATGAAATAGCAGACGTAGGAATTGAAACAGGACCTTTTCTTGAATGCATGTCCACAAAGATGCTAAGTCAATGAATGACATAAAGACTCTTTTCTTGGAGATAGTCTGAATAGGGCCACAAGAAAGAAGTATTTCTTGCAACGTATAGTTCAAGTTAATGACTAATAACTACGTGTAAGAGATAATGCTATAAATGCAGTACACCTGACCCCTGCAGAAGAAACCAAATAGTTTAGGTGAGGCATAGCCACATTAGAGTCAACTGGCCTAATGCATAGAATGACATGGCCATTGCGTTCTCTAAATAGGAGAGTGCATTCTATATATCCACAGTGAAAGTACTCTAAATAATCACATTTCTTGAGCTTAAACATCAGAAAATTAGCATTAGACTAATTATTCTCTTTTCAAGGAAAAACTAACCAATATTTACATAAACATCATCATTGACTTTGGCATAAAACTCAGCTTCCCATTTATCTGCAGCAAAAGCAAAGAACAACTTAGCCTTCTTTGGGAGCTCCTCATTAGCCTCCACATGGTTATCCTGTTAACATGATCATTAGAGATCATTAGCGAACTCGCTTATGCTGCAGAACCTTATGCTCTTCTCACAAGAAGTCATGGCGTATAAAACAGAAATTATAAGCCCTAAGCAGGCCATGCAATTGCCACGGCCAAAGTATTCTATCACATCTGGTATCTACCTCAATAATGCCTAAAGTCAACATAAACTATTACTTTTAGAAGCAAAAATGTTCGTGGTCAAAAATAATCTTACACTCAATATGTATAAAGATTGGTCATCAAATCAGAAATAGACTGAAATAATGACTTTCACGCCTTAATCTAAAAAGAGTGATCTTAAACCTAGTGGCTCATACAAACAGAAGCATAGAATAACAGAATTCTCAGATCAACGATTAATTGGAAAACACAATAATGGCTGAAATAAAAGTTTTTCTAAAGCTGTTTGGTCTGCCTTGACTCGCATAACTAGTGAATAATGTGCTTGTAACAGTTCGTAACAGCTTCTAACAGCATCCTTCAGTGACATAAAGGTTTTGCAGGCTCTCGTGCGTTATTTAGTTATATGAAAATTGTGCTTTCGAATATCGAACCTCTTATTTCAAAAAGCATGCAATCATTAGGACATTAGGAAAGCAATGCCATATTTATAGAGGACGGTATCCCCACAGTTTCATTACATTTCTAATACGGTAAAAAATGCAAAGTATATCACTAAAATAAAATCCTTGAAATATATAATACATACAAGGATCATGAAATCATTAGTCTGCCTATTTTCACGATCAATGTCTCTATCCAGACTGTCCCCGCGATTAGCACTGGAGAGTTGTAAAATTTCATAAGGGTTCCAGCTGAACCAAAAAAAAAAAACAAACAAACAAACAGTTAGTCTGAAAGTATTTTTACCTCCTTCCAATAACAAATCGTGCAATGATACCCTTCTTTTCCTCCATTTTCTTCAAAACCGCACCTGCAAAAGTTGTGCCCTAAAATATAAGTCTCCTTGAACTAAAGTTTTAGCATGACAGGCTGTAACCTCAACATAAGAATTAAGAAATCTTTAAATGAATACTCTATGTAGTACTGAAAGCTATATACTTCACAAACCATCAAAATAACTATAAATAGAACAAAAGATAAAAAGCACAAAGCACTGTAACTTATAAAACAAAGTGGTAAAGTCTTCACGAGTCAATACATATATACAAAGAGCAATAAGAAGGGTATACAGATATAATGAACAGATTGCGTTTACTCTAGAAAGCAATATTTCCCAAGATTGAGGGGCGCTCAGGCACAATCACAAATCGTGCTTAGAGTTCTCATTGCAGCACATGATATGATGACATCTTAGTTTCTTCATGTTTTGAGAGAGATGCAGAGTTGTAGACAATTAGAATAGGTTCATACTACATTACTAGATATGCTCACGCCAGAGTTGTTCAAAAGGAAGTCACCAGTTTAAAACACAAAGCAAGGGAGAGCACAGATATCCATGAGATCGGAGGAGTGATATTTCTACCAGTTCCCATCCATGCCTTGCGGATTGCATCTCTATTGTTCTTCCGGCCAAACCTTGTGATTATTCCAATCACTACCAAGGGCCCTTTCCTAGTGTAAGTCCCATTAGTCTCAGTCAAACGCTTCGAAACGAAGCCTTCTTGTCTAGCTGCAGCAAGTTCCATCTCAAGGGAATCAAGCTTCTTATGTTGTTCCCTAACAATCATAAATCAAGACCATGAAAAAAGTTGAGAAACTCAGGGAAATCAACGGAGATCATTACTCAAACCATATGGCCATCAAGAATGCTTTTTCAGAATTAACTTACCTGCAGGCTATGATTTTCAACGTATCATCCACAGATATCGCAGATTGCCCCTATAGTGAAAAATGAAAACCCTAGAGTTAACCTAGCCAGAAGCAGAGATTCCTACTCAAACAAGATTTCATAAACCGTACAGATGAATCACTACAAAATGAGAGTCCTCAACGTGGCCCTAATCAAATAATTCTCTAACTCTAGATAGTATCACGTCATAAATACAAAGGACGTTCCGTAATCTAAAGGCATTCCACGTCATGGGAACACATTAGTAACAACATTCGGCCGGTTTATTACTTTACTGTGCAACTATAATGAGTTCCTCCCACAGGATTTTGTCTGCGTCGAAATCCAAAGAATCAAAATTATTACAAAACTAAAAATCTATGACGAATTATCACAGTTAGGAGCCGCATTATCACCTATATCTCCCATTAAAAAGTGCGCGCAAGCGCGCGCTGAGAGAGAGCTATGTTGTCAGTGACTCCATGAGTGATGAAGCCCATAATGCGCTAGAACAACGTATGCACCATCAATCATATAGATAAGGATAGAAGAGTAGTCACCTGCCCAGTTATCCTGTCAAGTTCTCTAATCAGATACACCCTGTTCTCTGCGTCCTGCCATAACCTGATTCCATCAGCGCAGGAGGGGAAAACAAGGCAAAATGGAAGTAGGAAAGAAAAAATATTAGAATTCCCTTAAAACGATAGCCGAAGAACTGCAGAAGAAGAAGAAAGAAAAAAGAACCTTCCAGCGACGTAGAAAGAAGCAAAAATAGCGAACATGGAGATCAGAAGAGTTGGCACCCGGGACCGATAGGCCATGGCAGAAAGCCTGTAGCTCGACCCCTTGCTCTGCATTTAAGTCCGAGATGCCTCCGAACTATGAAGCAGATCCAAATCTTACAAAATTGATTCGATTATGGGAAAGATGCGGGTGAGAGAGGGAAGACTTACTGGAGGATGCAACCAAGCGGGACCTGCTGTTGATGTTTGGCTTTCAGTGCCGGAGACGGTATACAAAAATCATCCGGACAAGTATTTATTAAAAAATATTTTGTTATTTTTTCCGGATAAATATGATTGGTAACTGCTATCATAGTATGATTAGACGAACCTCTTTGTTCATTTTTTGATACAACGAACCTCTTTTGCCGCCATTAAGGGAAAAAAAAAAAGATCCTTTTTCAAGGATGTTATGTTAGGAAACAAGTGAGATTCTTCGAATGAGGGGGCCTGGCTAATTTAGGATGGCATAGAAAATAAGTGAAATTCCTTGTCTGATTTTTCACTGCTTAATGAAGGCGGAAACGAAAACCATGAAAATTATCAACTTTGCCCTTTTTCCCCCCCACTTTCCATTTCTTTATAAGATAGTCTGCCTATATAATGACGTCGCCGTACATGCGCCCGAGGAGCGGCTAAAAAAAAAGGGGGTAGGTGAGCGCTCCAAAAAAAGTAATTTCCCATAGATACCCTTTCGTATCTTGCGTTGCTTTGTTCCGAATTCTGAACTTTCCATTTCTCCCCGGGGATATTTTTTTTAACCGGACCCAGAGATTCATTCGCAGTAGTTGCGTACAAGATTTTATTGATTTAAATAAAAACATGTAAAATACTACTAACAGCGGCTTTAATAATTTTGAAGATGATTTTTTTGCCAACAATAATTTAAAAAGATAATTTGACATCAAAATCGTTGACTTACTATGTTATTCTTGCAGTGTTTAGTTTTTTGCGGCAATGAATGGTTTCACGGAAATCACATATGTTACAATAAGCTTACCATATGAATTAGTGCTTTGTAAATGTGACAAATCCATAAGTTTTTTTTTTGAGCAAATAAAATCCATTTTATTAATAGTCAAAAAAGAGTACAACCACTAATAGTCCGGGTCCAAAAAAGATTACAGCCTAACACATCAAACTCACCAAAACAAAAGAAAAACAATTCTAATAAATGATTTATTTTGTAAACAATTTAAAAAGGGATCCTTGGCTACCAATATCGAAGACCTTGTCAATTAAGCACATAATGCCATCACAATGTGGTCACGGAAGCATGGTGAAGACGCGCGTGGTGTCTGATGTTGTGTTATGTTTGGAAGGCGGAAGCGCCGAGGAGCTGAGTTGAACGGGCGAGTTTGTTAAGCCCATAGCGTACCAAAACAAACCCCATTCAAGCAGTATTTGGGCTTTCAAAAAGTTCCCCGCTGCTTTTTTGATACAAAAACGACCCAAATGTTTAAACCCAACTGCACCTCATTAAACCTAGAAGCCCATTTTATTTAAAACTCACACAGGTCCGTCTTTGTTAAGCCCAATCCACTTCAGCTAAATATTGCATTGAAAATACTGTTAAGCGCCTGGCTCCCCTCCAACTTTATACACCTGAAAAAATACCATTCCCACGTCAATCCATATAATTTGTTTCATTCACAAAATATATATTCCGGTTGTTGATATAGAACTTAATTATTTATATTTATTAATTTTTTTTTTCAGAATACCTTTATTAGTACTTCTTCAACCATAATCAAAAAACAAAGGGAGGAAAGATATTGAGATATATGATCATGGTTTTTTAGGAAAAACATGTCAAATTTCTCATAATTAACCAACTTACTCAATTTTATTAATCTAATTAAATTAGTTAAACCGGTCTTATATTAAAAATCGAAAGAGTATTAAATAATATAATTGATGAAAGACTAGCATGTGCTAGAAGACTTCGTATCGGGAGATCACATTTGAGTTAGGTTTCCAAAAACAATTTTTGAAAAAAATAATGTACAAATATTAATTCCCACATTTATAAGTGAAAATCTTAATTACGAACTCATGGTTATATTTGAAATTTAAATATCTCATTTATGCTTAAAATTTCTGAATTTGTTACAGCTTATTTTTTAAAAAAGGGGTTAATATATATTTTGATCCTTTAAATTTACAGTCATTTTAATTTTAATCCCTTAAGTTTCAAATCATAAGTCTTGTTCCTTCAGATTTCTTTTTATTTAAAACATTAATTCATGAACGCGTGTGTAATTACCATGCGTTGCTATATCTTGGTACGCCGCTGTTTTCATTTTAGAGATGCTCTATGTGAATATCGCTCTTAAAAATTCAAATCATACATGCTTTCGTTTGATAATAATCAAGGTCTTCTTTGCCACTGTTCATCTAAATTGAAGATAACAAAATACTACCTCCAGTCCTTAATATAAGATCTTATTTTACTTTTATTTTTGTCCTAAATATAAGACCTCAATCCACTTTGTCTCTCATGTTTATATATTTTTTTCCAAAGACAATCCCTCTAATAATAGTAGTTCTAACTAATACACTTGATTAGTAAGAATATTTTTGAAAAAACAATACCTATTTATACCAAATAATTAACTTAACTTTTTTATTAATATCTTCAAATTAGTCAACTAGTTTTTATAATTAGAACCGGAGGTAGTGCAAATTAAAGATGTGTGACGCCTACTTCTATCATAATAGCCGCTTATATAAAATAGACATGTCTCACTTTATTTTCCTGTTAATAAATTTTTTTTTTCAAGTTTCCTTTCAAAGCTTCGCTTAATTGCTCTATTGTTTAAACTTTAAAATCTTCTGTCTGAATAAAGAAACTTCTTTCAGCTTATAGCTGAAACTCAAAACCTCCCTTATAAGTTAAAAACTCTCTTAATATTACTATATCCGGTCTTTAATATAAGAGTTCATTTAATTTTTATTTTTATATTAATTATAAGATCCCAATCTACTTTAACTTTTATATTTATTTTTATTTTTTTTTCAAAGCAATCCTTATAATAATAGTAGTTCTAACTGATATATTTGATTAGTAGGGATATTTTAGGAAAAATAGCACATATTTGTTACAAATAATTAACTTAACTAGTTTTCTTAATCTACTCAAATTAGTCAACTAACTTTTATATTAAAGATCGGATGTAGTAGTACTTTATTTGGCAGTATTGCTAAATTTTCATTCGCTTCGTGTAACAATCCATTCATTCGCTCCGTGCAATTTGCTCCTAGTTGATATGTGCTAAATTTCACGCCACCATGCAATTCTCAGATAAAAATATACGGCATCAGTGTGAATGGATTTAAGACCTAAATTGATGAAAGCTTACAAAGCATCATTTAATTGACCGACCTGGATCAATACGGTGTGGGAGTATACATTATTATGCGTGAGATTACAAAATTTGGCAACAAAATCCACTTGCGTGGCAGCCAAAATCCCAAGCTTTTGCTTTCCGTATTATCGTGTTTGAAGCGCCAATCATTATTATAATGCCAAATTGATCAGTGATGGCCAGGTTTTTTTTCTTACCAAAGCATGCCTTTAATTATATACTATGACTATATCTATACACAGCCAACTACCCCCATGTCTGACTCTCGGATGATTATAAACAAAAAGATTGAGTTTGATTTTTGTAATTAACTTTTGACTCTGTGCACCCAATCGTATATGACTCGAACATCAATGATAAATAATCATGTAAATTAATTAACTATTACTGAAACGCACACTAATATAAATAGAACGCCATATTGCCAACCTGATCTCTACTCTCCCCTGCTAATTTTTTTTCCCAGCCATATTAGTTAGGGATTGAGAGCTTCACATGGCGCCATACTTTTTCTAATAACAAATATTAATGAATTAATAATACGCCCTCTCTGTAGTTAAGAAGCGTTGACATAATTAATTATATGCTCCACATTAGGCTGCCTGCAGAAATGAGAGTATTATTTCAGCATATAGGGTGGTTCCGTTCCATCTATCTAAGGCTCTGTAGATTGAATTGAATACTCCCGGGGACTTTTTATTTTCTATGTGCAAGCTCCGTTAATGACGTCATATGTACCTCATATTGACGCGACGCATATAAAAATCTATCTACGAGCTTGATTGGGTGCACAGACTCAAGAGCGGCCGGAATTAATACTGGGTAAATGCATCGGATGGTCAACACTAGTAAAATGGATACAATGAGATATTTAGCGTAAACAGATGGCCCGCCAATTAAATGGAAGCAAAGTTGATAAAATTGAAAGAATAAATACAATAAGGAATTTCCAACAAGCTACCCACCTAAAGAATAACAACTTTCTTTATTTTAATTGGTCCTTCTTTAATCATGAAACAATACTTTCTAAACCTGACGATGAAATCTATGAATCAAAGAAATTGTTGAATAAGTCGATGGAAGGAGTATGTGGTGAAACGAAGTATGAAGGGCTAGGCACGAAACTACCCTCCATAAAACTCCGATGGAGGGCTGGGCTCAAATCATGAAGGAAGCTGCCCACGGCTGGATCCGCCGTCGAAGGCGGCGAGAAGAAGCTAGCGGGAATCGGAGACAGTGCAGCAGGTCCGGGCGACAAAATCCCAGGAAACGTACTATTGGGCCGCTCAATCGCATCGCCCACCTCCGCGATCCCTTCGCCGTGGCCGCCAGCTTCCACACTCTGATGCTGTGCCAGTACTTTCTTCGGTTGGGGAGACCTAGCTTTCTCCATGGCGGCGAATCGCGCTGCCGGTGATACCATATCGCCATTATTACGGTTGAAAGGATCGTTGGGCGCCATGTTGGAGGAAGAAGCCGAAGAAGAAGAGGAGCCAGTGAGGCGTTGAACGAGGCTCATGAAATCGCCCGGCGTGGTGTGGATCACCTTGGGAGAGACAGTGTAGATGATGACAGGCTGGCGCGGAGGAGGTTGCGGTTGCGGGGGTTGCGGCGCCAGCGGTGGTTTCTTGATCTTGTGGGAATCTTTGTGTATCCTTAGGGGAGCGGGACGAGGGCCTTGCAGTTCTCGTCTCGGTGATTTCCCTGTCGGAATATCCGGGAACTCCATTACTTCTGCTTGCAGCTATGGATATGATTGAATTGTAGTTGCAATTAGAGTAAGGAACAGAATATGTAAGAGGAAGGGAACAAGGAGGATCGGTGGAAAAGCCAAAGATGATAGAATTCGATGTAATTATTTTAATTCGAACGGATGGGGAAATATATATAAGAGAGCTGACATAAAACCTAGGAAGAGAGCTGGTCAACAATGAAGGGAGATTAATTTAATACCTAATATATTCGTTAGTAAAAATTGGCTTCTTCTAAAGGTAATTTTTTAAAGGAATCATATATATACCAGGGCCGGTTTCGTGACGTCATGGTGGTCTGAATGTGTCTATTCTCTTTTCCAATTTTTTTTTTTTAGGGGGGGTGTGGTTTCCTTTGTATATCGTCCAGGCGGGCGCGGAGAGTTGGAAAGGGTCCGACAGTGCCATGTCAGAAGGGCGTACTGGAGGAACGGCGTAGGATGGAGGAGTAAGCACGTTTTATGTTAGGACGGACAAGTCTATTAACAAGTTGACGGTTGACAAAATTATGTGGCTGGGATCTCTCAATGGCACCCAAAATATGCGCGCCACGATAAAGACAAAGCAGTGATTTTAATTAACGGTGTCAGTGGAACAATCCTGAAACTACAGTATGTTTTGAAGCACGTTTCTTTTATAATTAAGTACCAGGTATGTGTCCTAGATTTCTTGCGACTCACGGCCAGTATAGCTGGAGTACTGGAAGTTTTGGATATAGTAGTACTTAGCAGTAGGGGATTAGGAATTATGAGCGCTGTACATTTGGAAAAGAGGGTTTGTGGCTGGGAGGCGAATGACCGATTTAATTTTTCGTTAATTGATTCAGATATGTAGCGGGTGGCTGAATATAATTCTTCATCTGTGGGCGATTCCCCTAACTTCTGTACATCGAACATTTTGTGCTACTCCCTCATTCCAAAGTCCAGACTTATTATTATTGTTTTAAACTTTTTATTTTATTTTCTATTTTTTTATTATTCCATAAATCCAATATTTAAAGTTATTTTCTTAACCGTTATCCTGATCATTTAATAATTACATGGATAGTTATTTCAGATTTATTATTTTAACTGGTTATAAATACACGTCTCTCTCATTATATTACTCATGCTTTTCACCGGCATCACCTTTTCTCTTTTTCCTATTAATCTTGTTTCTCTTTTACTCTCTTAACTAGCTAAAAGAATTACATAAGGACACTTCAGTCAATAAATGTATAGTAATAAATCTTGCTCTCATTTTTTTTTTGGCGATAGGGTGTGTGCTTGTAAAAAGAGATTAATATTTAATGGCAAAAAAAAAGAGATTAATATTTACAATGTGCATGCTCGTTCCGTATTTGAATTTTATGCTCCTCTAGTCCTTAGTATAAGACCTATTTAACTAATTTGGCTAGATTAAGAAAGTTAGATAAGTTAGTTAATTATAAAAAATATGATATGTTTTTCATAAAACACCATAATCATCTTTCTTAATATTTCCTTTCTCTTTTACTTGATTATGGTTGAGGGAGCATTATAGGGGTAATTTAGAAAAAATTAATAAATACGATAAATATGTTTTATATTTAGGACCAAAATCAACTCAATAATTAAGTTCTACATTAAGGACCGGAGGATTATTAAGCAGTTGGGTTCATTGGAGTAGTATAAATTGGCTTGTTTAGTTAGGAAAGGATATTATTAGGGGATAATACGTTGCACACACTCCGTATATTTGAAGGTTGAAGTTGGGTGGTGTTGAGATTTCAAATGGAAGGGGAGAATTAATGGCAGGTTTTGTCAAAAGTAAAAATAGCAAGTGGCACTCACTTGCACATGGCATATGCAAGGATTTGTTAGATATGGTGTCCTTGTCTGCAATTAATAATAATATCTCACCCCTTCCAACTTCTAAATTAAGTACTGTGTCATTCAGGTCCCCAAAAAAAAAAAAAAGCACTGTATTTGCATACCCCTTTGTCCAGTCGCAATTGACGGCTCATACACCAATATGCATAGTCTTACGGAGTTATTACAGTTGCAATGGTAGCAAATTAATTTATACTGTTAATTAGTGATCCCAAAAAAATTAGCCAGAAGTGTACGTATATTTTCAACTCTATTTCAGACTTCGAAACAACATGTTTATGAGGTAACAAATGATATAGTGCCTCACTAGTCTCTTTAGTATACTACGCACGCATCTTCGTCGTTTCATCGTGCCAGACTTCTTTAGTATAAATACCACGCAACGAACTATATACGCATACGTACCAGTTCACAAAAAACTCTGATCTAAAAATGACTTATAAAACCTCATTAATTAATTTATAATCTACAAAACGAACTATAATGTGAATATGGTTGCAATAGTACTAATTAGTAACGGTCAACACACACACATAGTGCCGTCAGTCATCGTTTGAGACATGACAGCGTGGAAAATTAATTTTGGTTACTTCAAGCACTCTGACGCCCTTCTTTTGCTCGTCCTGGGTAACGACATCTCCTTGAAAGTGTCAATTAACTGAACTAACTAACGCGTCCAGGTATACTCATACTGATTAATTCTAATAAAATACTTAAATTGTCTGTGACTCTGATTTTGCGCTGTCTGACTGCAATTGAATATCTCATCGGACAAGGTTCCAGGCCCCCAAAAATAATTACATGACTCCGTCTAGTGCATGAGCGGGTAAAACGATCGGAGCACCAACTAGTTCGTGGGGCCTGATTTATGTTAACATTATTATATTATCTCCAGTTCTTAATATAAAAACTAATTGATTAATTTGAGTAGATTAAAAAAAATTTAAGTTAGTTATTTATAATAAATAGGTATTTCTTTTCTAAAATACTATTGCTAATCATATGTATTACCAGAACTATCATTTAATTAAACATTTAACATATCAACTAGTACAAAAACTATTTTAGAAAATATGAATAAATATGAGAAATAAAATGAATTGGGATTTTAGTTTTAGAACCAAATTAAAAGTCAAATTAATTCTTACATTAGGGAGCGGAGGCAGCAAGTATAGATGAGCATCCAAGTCCAATGTTTCTAGGAACTTCTCGATCGAATATGTTTGCTAAGCTGTATATTTTTTTAAAAATAAAATTTCCTTGCATATATATAAAAATGCCTTTTTTTACTGGGCTCAAATGGTCGCTTTCGGAAGGAACAAATAACAACGTTAATATTATTGACAAAATATACATGAGATGTGAGAAAAGAACGAAATATAACTAAAATTGAACTTCCTTTTGTCTTGCTGATAAACCATATCTGGGACTCGAGAAATGAATGACCTAGATTCGAGCATGCATGAAATGAATCTCAATTGATTTTATTTAACCCTTGTACCCTTAAGTTATATAATAAATAATACTCCTCCCGTCCTAAATATAAGACCCATTTTATAGTATAAATTATACTACAAAATGAATTTTATATTTAAGATTGAAAGAATATAACTTTTCCCGCTTATCTAAAAGAAAGGAAAATAGAATAGAATAAAGAGAGGTCAGAAATAGAATGGATGTGTTTGTCGTGGCGCTGTTTAATGATAAGAATGTGAGTTATATTCTACCTGACCTTTCATAATTGGGGTGAAAGAAGAGTTGTGGGGCAAATTAAAAGCGAGCGGAGAAAAGTAAGCCGGAATGGGTCAGTGGACCTCTAATCCCTCTCGCATTGACCCAAAAGAGCCTTGACTCAGCGAAGCGATGCAGTCAAGTGACTGGGCATCCATTTCCTTCACTTTCCATTTTCAACCAAAGACATTTTCCGCTACCAAACACATTCACTGCTTGTCTTCCAATCAACTCAGACATGTTTCATCTCATCATAATAACAATAACACACATTTTTTATAGTGCTTTTAAGGATAAGCGCTGCTCTGCAGCATTTATAACTTGTTGATTGTGCCACTTTTTGCAGATTTTATTACATGTACATTACCGATAAATTGATAGATTAAATCCTATTTGATTCATTCATATTTTCATTTTAAATCAATTGTATAGTATTTTAAAAGCCAGTTAAAAAAATAGTACTAATGTTTTTATTTCCTGACTTGAGTTGGTTCCTTTAATGCTCGAATGTCCCTAGACTCAAATTCTTGACGGACCGAGTCAAAGCCCATATCAGCCGGTATGGTCTGACGTCTGGAAACGCGAGCTCAGCCCTTCCCCCATTTCCCAGCCACGGATCCCCTCTGCTTTGTGATAATGTTCCTCCCATGTTTTTGGGAGAATTGTCCTTAATTAATTTTAATAATACTCGAATCTGATCTTGATAGTTGTATGAAAATAATTTTACTTAATTACGATCAATAAGATCCTACGAAGTGTTTGCCAAAAAAAAAAAAGGAATCCTATGAAGTGTGTGTGTGTATCAGAAGTCAATTAAGAAAATAACAAAAATAATCACAGGGATTTGGGAAAAGAACCAGGTCTAGGGATCTGGATAGTTCTGAGGGGTCTTAGAAACTATGTCTGTAAAATCTGAGACATCCTGATCATCCCATTCGATCATAATCCGACGGATAAGGGATACGCGATGGATAGAGCCGGGAAAACGGGCCGAGCCTGTCGGGCTGGCCCTTTTAGGCCCTAAAATTATGAGGGCCGGGCTTGATATTTTTATCTTAAAATGAGAAATAAGCCCTGGAGGGCCGAGGGCTTAAAAGGGCCGGCCCTTTTAAGCCCTTTTATAATTTTTTTATTTTTAAATTTTTGATATAATATTAATGTTATTAATTTTTTACATTGTTAATAATATTTCAAATATTTAGTTATTATTATCATTTTAAAATTAAATTTAGTTTTAGACAATAATTATCCAATTAAATTTTTAAAAAATAGGTTAATTTGGACTTTAATAATGATTTGATTTATATTATATGCATCGATATTTTAAACTATATATATATTTGATAATAGAATTTTTTATACTTATATAACTTGTGATTCTATAATTTAAATTAGAAATTCATGAGTTTTAACAACAATGTTTCTCACATTAAAGTAAAATAATAGTTATATTGCAAAATGTAAAAATAAAATTCTTATAAAGAAGAAAAACTTGATTTTTTGTTACGAAAGAAAAGCATACTTATGAAGAAAAATAATTAATTATAGTGATGATGAAGTTTCAAAAGATTAATGATAATGTTTATTTATTACACAATTGCATTATAGATAAAACTTTTAGATGTTATTATTTTGTTAATGAATGTTTTAGATGTTCTTAGATATTGATGAATATTTATATATGATAATATTTTATATTTGTGACTTAATTTTATTCATATTTATGTCTTTTATTAATAATTTCATTGGTTTATTTTTATATTTTTATAAAAAAATATGATAAATATAAAAAATAGCATTTTTTCTTAAACGGGCCAAAAGCCCGCGGGCTGACCCTGGCCCTGTAGCTTAAGGGCCGGGCTTAGCAAATTGGGGTATTTTTAAAATTTCAGCCCTGGAGGGCCGGCCTTTTTAAGCCCGCCAGCCCTGAAGGGCCGGCCCTGATTCCCGGCTCTAGCGATGGATGGCTTATTCATGAATTATAGTGAAGTACTCATTCGGTCTTTAATATAAGACCCATTTGACTAATTTGATTAGATTAAGGAAGTTAGTTAATTATGAGAAAAGTGACACATTTTTCCTAAAACACCATAATCATCTTTCTTAATATCCCCTCTCCATCTTCTACTTGACTATAGTTAAGGGAATATCTATAGGGATAATTTAGAGAAAATTAATAAATATGATAAATGGGTCTTATATTTAGAACCAAAACCAACTTACTAATTGGGTCCTATATTAAAGATTGGAGGAGTACCATTTTTAAAAGGAAACAGTGGTCGTGGTGAAAATGGACGAAACAAAAGAAACGCACATGCACTAACGATTTCATTTGCCCTGGCTAGTACTCCTCCGATCTTTGATATAGAACTAATTGTTGAGTTAATCTTAGTCCTGAATATAAGACTTATTTTTATATTTATCAATTTTTTTAAAATTATCTTATTGATATTCTCTCAATCATAATCAAGTAGGATAGGGAGAGAATATTAAAGAAAGTGATTATAGTATTTTATGAAAAATATGTCATATTTTTTATAATTAACTAACTTACCAAACTTTCTTAATCTAATTGAATTAGTTAAACAAGACTTATATTAAAAACGAGAGAAGCAGTAGCTAGTAGCTAGTGGGGGAAGAGGGAGGGGAAAGGAAGGAAGATATGATATGATTGTGATCAGGCATGCGTATAAAATAAAAGGAGCACGTGGTCACGTGCCTCCATTCCCGCACACCCACGTGCATTCTCCACAAACTCGGTTCTTTTTGCACGTCTCTGCAATTAATCCAAGAACTCGATCACTTTATTTGAAACGTATATAGTGAAAGAAAAGGCTTATTGCCAGTTAATTGCGCCCATCAGCTTCCTGGTATACAAACCCCAACCCTGCCTCCAGTGGCAGATTAATTAATTGAGGCTCTTGATGATATAAGCCCATGAAGCCTTTATTTTTAAAGTTGCATAGCATCCAAGAGCAATTGATATAGATGAGGAGACACTCACACCAGGGATATCAGTATTGCTGAAACGCCATAACCATTCATTGTATTATTAGATTAGAAGATGGCAACGAAGGGTAAACATCAATTTGGGAGGATGACGATGGTTATATAACTTGTGGCGGAAGAGATCGAGCAATCTTTGGCTTGGTTATGGGATTCAGCTCATCATCCCTCTAATACCCACCAAACAACGCTTCCTGTTCCAATCATGTCTCGTGGTTCGCGCCCACTTGATGCTAGCTGTACGTTCAAACTTCAAACTTCTCCACCCATATGTATATATACGTGCACCCGTCCTCCACCACTAATAATACGAGTAACAAATACTCTTCGCCTGCGACGTAGAAAGTATTTTTTTGTCCATAGTCATAGCATAATTTTTGTTCTTAATTTAATTATGATTCTGCAGCTATTATTTTTTTAAAAACTATGTATCTATATATATATGGATATGTTAAATAGCGGTAAGATTAAAACATTATTAAATTTTACAACAAAAGTGATGAGATTCAAGAATTTTCTTAATTCTAACAATACACGCAGGGAATGAAAAGTAGATAGAAAAGCTAACAGTTAACAGGAAGTTAACAGTACAACAATTATATATTTGGTTGGCAAAAAAGAAAACAGTTATATATATTTTTGCCAACTAACAATTATATATTTGGCTTCTTAATTATTCTTGGATTTATATATACACAGTCATATATAAAAGAACCATGCAATTAACAATAATTGCCAAGAAACATGTAGCAGGTGGACTATTTGCGATTCACATGCATGCAAAGTTATCAGATGTTGAGCCGTCGTGCACATGAGTAATTTGGGAATTAAAAATAAACAAGTTTTGCCTTTTGGACATGAGAATCAGAACGAGACATTAATGAATAATGAAGAAGAGAGAGGGGCAGTCCAGTCCGCCTCTGAAACAGGACGCCCCCAAAACATGAACACCAACCTTCCTTCTCTTGAGCGCCTTCCTCTCATCAACTCTCCATGCGCCCACACATATATGTGTATATATATCCCTTCCCTCCACACATGCTTAGTTAATTCCCTATCAACTGATGATCTCCTTCTCCGCAAGGTAGACCCTGCATTGGCAATAATGCAGTCTTCAGCTGGGTGGCTCAAACCCAACATCGACTTAGCTCCCTCTTGCCCTCGCTGTGCCTCCTCCAACACCAAGTTCTGTTACTTCAACAACTACAGCTCCTCCCAGCCCAGATACTTCTGTAAATCCTGTCGCCGCTACTGGACCAAAGGCGGTTCTCTCCGCAATGTCCCCGTCGGCGGGGCTCCTCGCAAATCCCGCCCCGCTAAGCCCTCTCGCCACCCCACTCAAACCTCACGCCTTTCCGTCAGTGTCATTTCTTGTTCTCAGCACACACCTAATTCTGACCCCGAATCCGGTGGCTCCCAGATCGACATGGCCCTTTTGTTCGCCAAGTTTTTTAACCAAAACACCACCTCTCACCAAGAATTCAATCACCAGCCCATGAATGGATCATCCAATCCTGTGACACCCGAAAGCGTTGAAGCCCAGAACGACGAGACTCGACCACCGTCTGATCCAGACGCAGATCGCGATCATGATCCCATAGAGGGGCTTCCTCAGCAAGAGCCGGGTCATAATTTTTCGGGACATGAGTTGGAGGGCTTGTTTGATGAGGATGGAGTGGTTCGAGATGTTTTCTGTCCCGATGTTACGACGTCGTCGGCGTTGGCGTGGCAACCTCCAAGTCCTATGATGGCATTTCCGCAGGAGTTGGAGTACTCCATGTCCATGGTGATGCCCTTCCACGACGACGATCAATTCCCGATTACTTCAGTTTAACAAGAGATTGGGGAAGATTGCCATGCCTAGTTAATCTCATGTCCTCCTTAATTTCTCGACGTCATGCCAGTCATTAGATTTTAATTGCCCCTTACTATATTAACCTTTTTTTTTAAAAATAAAATAAGTTACTCCATATATTCTTCATTTATTAACTACAAAGAGGAGAGACACATTCTACTGCTACTGCCACGTAATGTCACACACACACACACACACTATACGGCGGATCTTCAAGTAATTAACAATTGAGTGTTTTGATGCACCTGTAGCAGTATAGAGCAAAGGATTAAAAAAAAAAAAACTGAAGCAGTAAAGAGCACCAAAGACATCTCACATGGTAGGTAACAGTTCTGATTACTTAAACCATGCATATGGGAACATTCATAACCGATGGCCGGGATAAGTGAGTAGCTTTTATCTGTAACTCAACATTTCGAAATAAAATGATGTCATCTATTCACTTACGGCCAAAAAACAAAGCACTTTTATTAGTTCAGCGATTAGCTTCCCTCTTTAAAATTTATTCAAGTCCATTTTCCTATATTGATTTTATTAATGAGAATCTCTTGTCAAAATCATGTGACTGGTCACCGTGCATGAGACATATAAGAGAAACTAAAGTACTACCTCCGGTCCTAATTATAAGATTATGTTTGACTTTTATTTTGGTCCTAAATATAAGAGCCCAATCCACTTTATCTCTCATATTTATCCACTTTTTTCAAGATAGTCATTCTAACAATAGTAGTTCTAGCCAATGCACTTGATTAGTAAGGATATTTTAGGAAAGACAACACATATTCATGACAAATAATTAACTTAACTAAATTCATTAATCTCTCCAAATTAGTCAACCGGGTCTTATAATTAGGACCGGAGGTAGTAATAAAGTTTGAGACGGAATTTTCGTTGATTGAATAATGGAAAATATTTAACTCAAAGGGAATAAATTAATCTCGTTGGCAAACAAGGAAAAAAAAAGAAGACATTAATTCCGTCTACGTAGTTATTATATATTAATAGCAGAGGGCTGGCCACAAGGGTCCTCGAGATCATTCATCAGCGTTTGTGTGCGAAAAGATCGAAATGCACGTCTGGGTGTTTCCCTTCTTCGGCGCCATACGCCTTGAGCATCACTGCCACAAGACAAAACATACGCATCGATCTAAAATAGAATTCTCAACCCTAAAACATACTTATATGTATATATATTTATGGGTATGGGAGAATTACAACAAAAGACACATACTCTCAGCTGCTAGTGGATAGCGATCAAAGAGCGCCCCTATTGCTTTCAACAGTTTCTGCACAACAGGGATACGCGTCAGTGATATTTCAAATGCTTTTTTTATGAACGGAAGCTAAGCGCCAACAATAAGTAGTAAAATACCAGTGATAGTTCAGCCGGTTTTACAGGAAGCTCCTCCACGCCCGTTATCTTGCTGCATCATTAACAACCGCAATTATAAGCAATGCGGTTCTGGATGAGTTGATATGCTATATTGTTATATACCATGATTTCACTGATCCAACACCTACCTAATCACCGGTCTTCCTTCATCTTTTTCAAATGTGAAGTATCTGAACCCACTGGTGAAGGGTATCTTGTAATCTTTCCACCCTGCAATTAACCAAGCCCACTGATCCCATTATAATACTCCTCCGGTTCTTAATATAGGATCCAATTTTTGAGTTGATTTTGGTCCTAAATATAAGACCAATTTCTCATATTTATTAATTTTCTCTAAATTACCCCTATGGATACTCCCTCAACCATAATCAAGTAGAAGAGGGAGAGAAGGTATTAAGAAAGATGATTATGGTGTTTTAGGAAAAATGTGTCACGTTTCTTATAATTGACTAACTTACCTAACTTCATTAATTTAATCAAATTAGTTAAATGGGTCTTATATTAAGGGCCGGAGGAGTATCATATAATTCCGATCAATTTCAAGCTTTCAATTGATGATCTCAAATATCCAGATTAATGTTGGCAGAGACAAACAAAACAAGGGTCGATGATAGATAATAATTATAGAGAAAATTGGGGGGAAAAAAAGGGTCTAAAACGAGGTATACTTAGGTGCAAACGCACGGTGACAGTAAGATGTTCGCTCTTGATGTCTTCGATAAAAATATGGATATTTTTACCCATGGCTTCCCTGGCTGCCAAAAAAAATTTGATGACATCCTGTAGGAAAGAAAACGAGCATTGAATTAGGAACACATTGAGCGTAGGATTCAGGGGAAGAGGGAAAGAGAAGTTGAATATGGCCGGTGAAGAAGGGAGATAAACCTCGTCGCCTTCATGAGGACCGTAGAAGAGCAAATCCTGGAAGACACATTGAGGCGCGAGCAGTTCTTTCAACCTCTGAGTGTTTGATTCATGAACGGCGACGTAGAAATCTTGCACAATTTCCTCCAAGGAAGGATGTGGCAAGAACTCAGGGACTACACCGCACGATCCATCGTCGCTAAACCATGCTTTCCCTTTCTCTCTCGGCTGTGCCTCTAATGCCAAGGCACCAAATGTGGGTTTCCATCCTTGAAATTTTACTGCTAAATTGCCAGAATGCGTCTTCTTGTTCAAAATCTGGTGCTGCAAAGTCTTGTTGGAGCTCGCGAGGAAAGCAGTGTTTTGAGCCAGAGATGCCATGCCCGTGTAACTCCACGCAGCATTTGGAGGTAGGAATGAAGGCGCGAAGCCATGTTATTGGAGCTCGTCCTAATTGAGTTACTTGTCATATTAGTCTTCGAATCTGTTTTCCGTGATGAGGATTCCAACTCGGGGCAAGGAATAGATCCATGCCGAACCCGATTCTAAAGTTTCCCTCTCTATTCAAGTTTGCGGAATCTAGTTATCCTGTTTCCTCAATTATTTATACGGAAAAAAAAAATACATTTATCTGTCTTTTGGCTGACGTCGAGCCTGCTTTCAACATCTTCGATTACTCCATTTTTGGCTTTAACTTCATGTTCATGTGTCTCAATTTTTTACCGGGCTGTTTACACGAGGTGGTTTGAAATTTTATAAGCAGTTTTTTAATCATATAAAAAGAGTTTTTTCTCAACTTATATAAAATATACTTATAAAAACTTATAATCATGATTCCAGAAAGTCTCTACATGTACTCGCAGTCATTACGTATAACATGTTCTATCACCATGTTACTGAAAGTAAGGAATCAAGGTGATGTGATATAGTTAATTAGTTATTTTAACTAATTCATCAAAATTAAAAAAAAATGATAGTTAACTTGTTAAATCTCTGCCTCGTATTAAAAATGTTTTTCAACTTTACCTATATTAAATGAACTTGTTAAAAAAAAAAAGAGAAAATACAAAGAGTTACATTTAAACATTAATTATAGGAATAAAATATTAAAATTGATAAATAACTATTAATTACTTCTTAAATAACTTATATTTTCAACTAAATTAATTTTCTAAAAACCACCCATAGTCGTATACTATATTGTGAGTACTATGTGTTATAACACGTTTCCACCTGGAAAATTACGTCCTGTCAATTGTCAAATAGTGCAGAAAGGAAAAAGGAAAAAACAAAACAAAACAAAAGAAAAGAAAACGGATCTTGCCGGAATAACAACATATGCATGCACGTGGTACCCCCAAGATAATGGGAGAGTAGAGTAAACTCGTCTTTTCCCTTCCCCCCCTTTCCCTCCTTCTCCAATTAGCTTTACTTGAAAGTCTTTTCCGTTAAGTTAATGGACAGTGAAAAAAGAAAGAAGAAACTTTTGTTTCTGTTTTAAGATTTAAAAAGATAAAGCCAGTGGACAGAATAAAGTAGTACTACCTCCGGTCCTAATTATAAGATCCAGTTGACTTATTTGAAGAGATTAAGGAAGTAAGTTAAGTTAGTTATTTGTAATAAATAAGTGTTGTCATTCCTAAAATATCCTTGCTAATTAAGTATATTGGCTAGAACTATCATTATTAGAAGGATTATCTTGGAAAAAAATGCATAAATATGAGAGACAAAATGGATTGGGGTCTTATAATTATGACCAAATAAAAAGTCAAACGGGGTCTTATAATAAGGACCGGAGGTAGTAGTATAATATACACTTAAGGAACAAAACTATCGTTTTCCGCAGTTGTACATTACAACACAACCAAATTTACTCTGATAAAAAAGAAAATGATTACATTAACTAAGAACGATAACACACTGGAAATAAAGTAGGTTGAAGACATTTAAAAAAACTGGCGACGAAGACACTATTAAAATCCGGGAAAATTAGAGATAAATCTCTCATTGTCACTTTAATTGGCAAATAGGATTTAAGATGATTGATTGCATAAAGGAAGATTAATTGCACACAAAAAAAGATGAGTTGCACAAAAGAAAAATAGTTTGCACAGAACATTACTTGGATATAAAGAATTAGTTTACATATAGGGAAGATGACTTGCATATAAGAGAATTTCATTTGCACAAAAGTAAATTGAGCTGCACGTTACATAAAAGAAGATTATTGCACACAATGAAAGATATATTACACACAAAGGAAGTTAAGTTGTACACAAAAAAAGCTAAGTTGTACAAAATCCTTAGGTCTCATTTGCCAATTAAATTTTTAATAGGAGATTTATTCTCAATTTTCCCTTAAAATCCGACTGGGTAATTTCTAAATGGTATTCTCCAAATAAAAATAAAGTGTAATTTCTTTGCTAAGTTACCAAAATGGTTTTCTTATGAGCATTTCAAACTTACCATATCCGAATCATTCAGATCTAATTTGAAAAGTCTAAATTTAATTTATTTTTTGTTTTTATTATTTTAATGAATATAAAATCTAAAATAAAGATAATATTTTAATTATTATTTTGTTTGGAAAATAATTTTCTATTTAAAAATAAAAATAAAAAGACAAATTAGATATCAACCATCTAAATTAAATCTTCATGTTCTCAATAGGATGACTCAGCGTGCACGTTCAAGTTAAGTCACCGTTTTGGCAATTCGATCCGAGAACTTCGCATCACGCATCAAACTCAAAAGCGCACACAACGGTGCAAATGCCAAGGCAGCTAGTCTCTGTTTTTTGGGGCCCAAAGCTTAGTTTTTTAATCATTATTAAACAACTGCTTCTCAATCAGGTTCAGCCAGGCCACTAGGCCAGTAACTTCCATTCTTTCTTTCTTTCTTTGTTTTCTTCGGTTAAAAGTAAGGCAGGACAAACACACAAGATATAGGAAATAATAATAATGTAGCAATACGGAACAGTTTTGCTCATCTCCATTCACAAAGTGAACGCATTTTTAAAAAGAGCAATGTTAAAGGGAAAAAATTTACCCAAAAAACCTGCATCTACCTCGATCGTAGTTAAGTATGAAGCTCATCAGATCACTTTGCTATTTTATCTTTCAAAACGCAGATTTTAAAAAGGTTTAAACCTTTGGCATTTATTCACGCTCCGTCCATTCCATCCCTTCTATTTGAAATAGTTACATTATTCTCTACGGGATATGGATGAATATAAATATAAAAAAGAGGTAAACTTTATTAGGTGAATATTGGTAGTTTGAGGGGACCATGCATCTTCATGGGAGTAGGAGGAGGTGCACTGCCAAATAAACTAGGGAAAAAAGTCCGAAAGGAGATCTTGAATTGGAAGTCCTCGCACACACCTGTTGTTTGTGTGATGCACATGGCCTCACCTTTTTGGATTGGAGGCAATCCTATATTCTATATGTCAATGCTTGCTTCTGTAAGTTTCCGGATGCAACAGTGCTGGCCCCACTCTTTTCCAATTTTCAATATTTGCGTCGGGATATTGTTTTCATTTTTGTAATAAATTGACAAGACATCCTAATTTGAGAAAAAGTGTTTAGATGAGAAGCAAATCATAATTCTAAAAGTAATTTTACGGTATACGAAATAAATATATAAAAAAATTTATCTCAATTTATAAAAATATATTTTTAAAAATACTTCTTATAGCTCCCAAACACCCCCAAGAAAGGAAGGAAGGAGTATACCGGGTTTTGAGGGAGGAGAGAAACAGGAACCTGATAGCTAACAGGTGTGAATTAAATACGAGAGATCACTGGACTCGATGGATAATAGGAGGGCGATGGAAGGTTAAAATTTTTGAAATGCTACATGTGGTGTTCACAGGGGGGAACGTAACAAGTCGCTGACATAAAAATTGGGGAGGCATGTATAAATAAATGGGCATTATCGTGGCACAAACAGTTGATTTTTAAACAGGAATTCCTGCGTCCGGGAAAACAAGAGAATAGAAAAACAAAGTCATGAAGAAGACATACGGATGCCGCTTGTCCTGAGATTTGCCGTCCAATGGGAGGGTCACACATTGACATGGTTCCCCAACAAATCTGTGCATTTCCTCCCTCTCCAGCAGCTTCGCCCTTGAAAATCTCAATGTTTCTGTCTTCCCACGCCCCTGATCTCTTTTCAAAGCTCGTCGTTTCCCAGACAGCATTACTCAATTTACTACCTTAAAAGGGGGCAAAAAAAAAAAAAAACTCCTCTTCGTGTGATCGTTAAATATGGAAGGAAATACTCTCTCGCTCTGTTCTTTATTATAACAAACAATTATTAAACTCACACATTCAAAATATCAATTAAAAGCAAAAAAAATGTGTAAGATATATATTTATTAATCATATTTTTATTTATTAAAAAAGTATGTAAAAGATTATGAGTAAAAATTTACAAGTGACATCTACTCCTTCCGTCTCTTATTATAAGATTCAATTTTTTGAATGGGTTTGTCTCTTTTTATAAGATTTTCTTTGAGTTTGTCTGATCATTTAATACAGTATTAACTATTTTACTCCTAATTTAATATATTTAATACATTTTCTTTATTTATTTATGTTATTATTACTCTTTCACATTTATCTATTTATATATTGAGGTATATTTGGAAAACAACTGCACTTACTACATATTAATTGCTTTTAATTAATTTTAATTGTTTTCTTAAACCATGCAATCTAATAAGGCATGGAATAGTATTTAACAGGGTAAAAATTGAAAGATCAATTTAAAATTTTAGACAAGAGGAGTTATTTTTTATATGCAAGAACACACAGAGACGTAGAAATATTAAACACATATTGAGAGAATTGGGGGATGGGGGGTAGACACAATATTACTGGATGTCTTGATGTTTTCGAACAATTCAATAGGTGGCCTTGAAAGACTCTCACAACATGAAAGAGCTCGTTTTTAAAATTGTAGGAGCAGGCTCTCCCTCCCTCCCTATGTATCTACGTGTGTGTGTGTGTATCTATATCAGGCAGAGGAAGGGAATGGTTACAAATAAAGATGGAGCAGAAGTCGGAGATAAGGTGTGCCATTGAGGAGTTGTCGATGGTTATTATAGCCAAACCTGGAGATAATAATGCTGATTCAGCCTTCATCTCCGCCGAGTCTTTTCTATCTCTGTGCTACTTGGTCCTACAAGTTCTGGGTGAGTTATTGGTTCTGACCACCAGCTAACGCCTCTCTCGCCATATGTTATTCCAATAAGTTTCAGTCATGATAGTGACCCACACCTAACGCATCTTGCATGATTGATTGATGCTCTCTTGCAGATAAGATAGGGCCAACCATGGCTGTTCTCACACGAGACATTTCTCAAAACGTCAAGGTCTTAACATATACTAATTAACTTGCTTCTTCTTATCTTATGATCCATGATTTTGCTTTTCTAATTACTTTTGTGCTCCCCCTTCCTTCGGCATGAGGCTGTTAGATTGTCAGTTTTTCAGCTAACGCATCATATATACCTGCACATTTGCTTATCATTTAAGATTAATCGCAGAGATTGGAAGGGTGCATAAATCAAATCCCTCCGTGAACTCAAACTTGGTTGAGATATTGAAAGTAGAGGCAAGCCTAGGCAAAGCAAAGAAGAAGGGGCCCAGCTGCAGTAATGCCTTTGTTTGGCTCACTAGGTCAAACCGGTCATACCTTTTTTCTGCTTTTTACCTGACCTTAGTAATTTTCCATGAAATATTTAGACCAGATTAATTGTTATTGTAATTGAATATGATACTGATATGTGCAAATTTTGTCGATCGGTGCAGATCCCTGGATTTCGCGTTGGCGTTATTGCAAAGCGTAGCTGGAGATGGGGGGAGGAATATGGAGGAAATAGTGACAGAGTGTTATAATAACACTTTGAAACCCTGGCATGGATGGATTTCATCTGCTGCTTTCAGAGTACGCATATATATGGACCACTTGTTCTTCCCTTCTACCAACAGTAGTTTTTTTCTGGGGGTTTATGGTAACCTATCTCGAGTTTAATTTCGTTATTGACCTCACAAGTGTCTCTCATTCATTTGGAACTTCACCTTAAGAGCGTGTAGCATTAGTGACAGATAAAGCAACATTCTTCTGCTGCTGTTGCTTTCTGAAGTTCAAAATCCTATTGCGACTATACAAGAGTATACATGCATATTTTGCAGGTGGCTCTAAAGCTAGTGCCAGATAGCAGAACTTTTGTAGATCTGCTCAAGTCAAAGGATGAAGACTATGATACAGTAAAGGAGGAAATGCAGGAATTGGTTTCTCTACTTGGGCCTTTTCTCCACGATGTCCACTGCATTTTAGTAAGCTTTTATATTGTATTTGTATTGTACTACTTGGGGAAATAATTAACATACTGATTCCTTTGTTTGTCTCTTCTACATATATATGTATACCTGGCTAATCAATGCCTACTTATCTTGCAGGAAGTTTATAAATTGGCTAAGATTAAGTCAACCTGAAGTTGAGATTGAAGAATCCGACCCACATTTTCATTCACGTTATGTGTATTATATCTCCTCTAGCTTGTGACCTGGATGAGCTATATTATGCATCTGTAAACTTAGCTTGATCTATTCAAAATAAAAGAAGATAATTTCGTATAATGAATGTGTTGCAGTATGTACATATAACATTCCACATTGAAGCGATTCTAACACAAAATAAATTTGGTCCGCACCCATACTTCTCCATTGTTTCAAAATGGGCTTTCCATCAATTGGTCCTGTATGCCTCTACCCCCTCAAAAGATATAGTACTACTGTCTGTGTATGAACAAGCCTTACTGAATTCCTGCGAAAAATAGAGAAGCAGAACAGCAGAAAGAAGCAAAATTCAATAGGTAGCAGCAAACAGAGGAAGAGGAGAAATGCTCAAGAGCTCTGCAGCAGGCATAGCCTTTAATCGACTGTAGATACGGAGGCACTGGGCACTGATTAAACACGATATTACGCCTTTGGTTTTGAATGTTGCCGCCATAAACTCGATTGACATAGTCATTTTTGAACGTTTGAAAGTTATGGTTAAAGGTAGACGATTCTTGACGTTGCTATAAAACCGACCGGTAAAGCTTCAACGTTCAAAAATGAGACTGATAAAATGTTTTTTTTTCCCCCGTTTAATCACGCCAAATTAATCTCTTCAGCGTAGAAGAACCTCGACTTGGCGAAGTAATGCAGCCTTGCGGCGAAGTGACTTTGGCATCCATATTTTAGACATTTCATTCTCCACCGAAGAGCAGAGACGTCTCGTATGGTACAGGGACTTGCAGCTCAATTTACATCAGAGAGGTCCGGCATTGTTATTGGGTAATGGCGGCTCTGATTACTTAAACCACGCCCATGCAAGGGGAATATGGCCTGGGCCTAGTCTCTGACTGCGTGCCTGCTAGCCCACTCGGCAACCCACTAATGGGCCGGGCCTCATCACTCAAATAATCATATCACCCATGAATGATTCGTATAATTGGCCCAGTTAGTGGCTTTGATCTGTAACTCAACATTCTGAAACAAAATGATGTCATCTATTCACTTACGGCCCATGATTCTTACTTTTCCGAAGCACTTTTCTTGGTTAGGTCATTTGTTGCAACCGTCACCCCTTGACCACTCCTCCCTAGAAATTTAACCTCTTGTCAAAATTACGTTATTTGCCGCAGTGCACAGGGCCTTAAAGGAACTAAAAAGTAATGCAGTTTGAGACGGAATTTTCGTTAATTGAATAATGGAAAATATTCAATTGAACACGCGAGCGTTTGTGTGCGGAAAGATCGGAATGCAGGTCTGGATGTTTCCCTTTTTGGGCGCCATAAGCCTTGAGCATCACGGCCACAAAAGACACAGATCTCAAACACAATTCTCCACACTGACGCATTATCACACATAAGGCACAATCACAAAAAATAACAACACATACTCCCAGCTGCCAGCGGATAGCGATCAAAAAGCTCCCCTATTGCTTTCAACTGTTTCTGCACAACAAGGAATACGCGTGTAAAAGTGATATTTCAAATGCTTTTTTGTTATCAAGGGAAGAGCCACCACTAAGAGGGTGTTTGGCAAAGCATTAAAAAATACTTTTAGACCCAAAACCATGATTTGGGTCCAAAACTATCCAATCACTTCAAATTTTTGGAAAACCATGGTTTGGGCTTTTGGAAAAGTCAAAAGTATTTCACTTTTAGAGATTAAAAACTGGTGCTTGGGGTAATTATTATGGGTGTTAGACTGATAGTATGAGACGCAAGGAATAAAAAACCGAACCAGTCAGTAAACCGATTGAGACATTGGGTTAAGGGTTAATAGGTTAGATCGGGTCAAACCGGTAATAATTAAAATAATTTAATTTAATTTAAATGTGTAAAAATATTCCTATTTTAGCCCCAAAAAATCAATATTTAATTTATTTATTTATTTTTTCCTTTTAATTCTCTCTCCTCTTCGTACATTAAAATTTTTTCTGTTTTATTTTTTTACTTTTATTTCACATCTTCCGTCCTCATTCACGTGGCTTGGTTTGCTTTTTCAAGTTTTCAGTTTTTTGTTTTCTTTCCCACTCCTTCTCTCCTGTCACACGGATCCATCAAATCACGCACCACATGCCTTTTGTTTTACTGCTCTACACTTGAGTGCCGATCTCATCTCCTCTCTCACCGAGCCTCCTCTCTCTTCTCTCTTTGTCCTTACCTTTAATCACAGTCTCTCTCTCCCACTCTCTTTCTCCTTATCTTCCATCAACAACATGAGCTGAGTTGTGAGTCGAATACTGAGATGAAGATAAATAATACTGACAACCATGGAGTGCAAATGACAGTGATGAAGCAAGAGGTGAAGAGTGAGATGTCACAATCGTGACTTAGCAGCGACGAACACAAATGAGGCCTAGCATTCTAGACAGACTAGCGGAGAGATTTAGAGTTTCTCTTCTTTCTTTCAACTTTTTCTCCAAATATTCACTGTGTTTAAAATCTTTTAAAACATAAAATGATGTTGATTCTTGAAGGCGGAAGATTGAAATCATTAAACCGGGCAACCCATCTTAATTGCCTGGTTATCCGGTTTTTTCCCGGTTTGAATAGTGTCGGTTTTTTTCCTGAACTAGACCGGATCAGAGACTGGTTCATCAGTTTTCTAGTTGAATCGGCTGGTCCGGTCCGATTTTTTCTTCATTGGTCAAACGCCTTTCTCCTTCTTTCTCTTTTCTCATTCTTTTCATTTTTTGACCGGCTCTCCTCTTTCACTCCACATTTGATTTTTCTGTTAGGAAGGAATATTTATTTTTCTGAAACACATATTAATCTTATATTTTATAAATATTTATATACATATTAACAATTAACTAATAATATTTTTTATATATTATTCATTATGAACTTAATTGGAGAGTTAATGTTGGTAATAAATGTAAGAACTATTCTATATAATTATTAATTTTTTTTAAATTAACCGTATTGATATTCCTTCAATAGTAATCAAGTTAGGGGAAAAGAAATAGAATCAAAAAAGATGTTTATGATGTTTAAAAAAATATATCATACTAGTTAATTCAGTTAATATTCTTAATATATTCTAATTAATTAATTAGATCTTTATAATTATCATACTAACTTATGTCTTTTTTGGTAATTTGTATTTAAAAAGTATTTTTGATAACAACTATCTAAACAGTTTTACTTTATTAAAATCACTTTTTTTTTATAAAATCTATTCTTCATTAAAAAAGACATAAGTTAATATGATAATTACATAATAATATATTTTTATTTGAAGTAATAAATTTGTTAACACTATATTTTTTACCAACATAATAAATAATATATAAAAATATAATTAATAAATAATTAATATGTGTATATGTATTTATAAAATATAAGATTAAATATGTTTTTAGAAAATGATTATTTCTTTTGCTAATAGAAAAATATTATTTTGTCTTAAAGATTTTAAACATGAAATCCCATAATATTTTTTCACAACTAGTTTTTTTAACAACATACTGCCTCCAATATTTAATATAAGAGCTATTTTGATATTCAATTTGGTTTTAAATATAAAATTTTAATCTATTTTATTTATCTATTTTTTAAAATAGTCTTTATAGTAGTTGTATATGTTAAATATTTTATCAAATGATACTTCTAGCTAATACATATGATTCAAAAGAGTATTTTAGGAAAGACAACACATACTTATTACAAATCACTAACTTAACTAATTTCCTTAATATACTCAAATTAGTTAACTAGCTCTTATATTAAGGACCCAAAATAGTATTACAATGTAAAAAAAAAAAGAACCACATTTTCAAAAAGCAATATTTTTTTGGTTTTTCATGAAACCATGATTTAGGTGGGTCTAATCATAGTTTTGGAGCTAAACCATGACTTCATAAAAATGTAGGGTATTCGGCAACGTTTTGGGCCAAACCATGGCTTAGACTCTCAAAATAATTTTAGCAAGTTTACCATATACTTCCAAAATATATTTTTCAGAAGCTATTTTAAATCATGGTTTGATTTAATTCAAACACGCCCTTGGCCAGTAAAACACCAGAGAATACTCGTTATCTTTGCCGTATCATTAACAACCTCCATTATAAACACTCCGGATCCGGATGATCACTTTATATGTTATGCTTTCAGGGATCCAACATCCTGTGGGAAAGAAAACAAGCATTGAACTAGGAACATATAGAGCGCAGGATTCAGGGGAAGAGGGAGGGAAAGGTAAGTTGAATATGGTGGAGAATGGGGATAAAACCTCTTTGCCTTCATGGGGACCGGAGAGGAGAAACTCGTGGGGGACACATTGAGGCGCAAGCAATCAGTTCAACCTGTGAGTGTTAGGTTCATGAAAGGCAACGTAGAAATGTGGGACTGTTTCGTCCAAGGAAAGGAAGGATGTGGTAGTAACTCAGGTACTACACCGCACCATCCATAGTCGCTCCGCCATGCTTTCCATTTCTCTCTTCCCTGTCCCTCTAATGCCAATGCACGAACTGTGGGTTTCCACCCTTGAAATTTTGCTGCTAAACTGCCAGAACGAGTCTTCCTGTTCAAAATCTGGCACCGCAAATTCTTGTTGGAGCTCGAGAAAAGCATTTGGAGGTAGGAAGGCGCGAAGCCAAGCCACATTATTGCAGCTCATCCTAATTAATTTACTTATCATATTCGTCTTCGAATCTGTTTTCCTTGATGAGGATTTCCATTTGGGGCAAGCAATACATCCATGCATCGCAGTCACAAAGAAGCACCATTCTGTTTCCTCACTGTATATTTAATTTATAAAAAAATAGCTTCCCCTGTCTTTTGGTTAACATCATGCCTACTCCCGACATACGATTCCAGACTTTACATCATGTTCCAAGTGTCCCTGTTGTACGCATCTACTCGCAATCATTAAATATAACATAATTTTCTGTCATCATGTTATTTAACTAATGAATTTAGGGCGGTTACAATATTGTAAATTGATAACGTGCAGCTCATCAAATTTCGAGCAGAACCATACATGACCGTGATGCCAGGAAGTTACAGAGATTAGTGATGAAGGTGCAAACATAACGTGGTCACGGGGTGGAGCATCCAGTAAAACTAGCGATTGGTTGGTTAAAATTTGAGGGCATA